CCATTTATCTAAAAGTTATAAGTATAACCACATCTATCTAGTAGTTCCCCAAAATATCAGAGATCCGGCACATATTCCTGTCATATTTGAGGAACTGTCTTGCCCCAATTTGCCCCTGCCTTTTGGCCTTCCAGAGGTATTTAAACCTGATTTTGCTGGTTGTCTTGGGGCCCCAAAGAAGGATACTGGGTATGGTTGAATGGTTAAGAAGATCTTACCCCCATGCCATCCAACGTCTGGGTTCCAGTTTTTTATATAGCTTTTAAAAATTGAAATTGTTTTTATATTTATCTTTTTACTTTTTGTAAACCACCCATAATCACTGTATTGGTGAGATGGGCAACATAAGCATTTAATAAATAAATAATAAATAAATAAATATTCCACTTGCCTTTATTTATTTCTCGCTGTTTCCAAACTATAGCAAATATAGTTTCATTAGTTTCAGGCTCACAATACCTCTTATCTTGCTTGCTGAAACAGATGGGATCAAATCAATTATGTTTCTCCAGTATTCCTCATTCAAGACATATTCAAACCATTTCCACCCAGAAACAGTGATGGCAGTTTGCACTATATTTCAGTTTCATCAGGTAGTAGTGATTGATGGTTAATCTAGAATGGTTTCAATTTCTCATGAATTTGCCTTTCTCTTTCTTGGCTGATTTGCATATTCTGCTCGGTTGAAGTGGAATTGCCTCGTAAAGAGCCAAGGACCAATCATCTTTTGGGAAATATAGTTCACAAATTACCTGGAAGGATGCTCCACTCATAGCCCTGATAGATATTGCTGTGGTGGTCTATATCTCTTACATACATTGTTCAATTATGTTGTTGGTCAACTCAAGTAATTTTTCTTTTTAAATGCTTAGTCACTCTGTGTTGTCTGCAGCCACAGATATTAAAAGAAGGGCTCTTGATGGGCCATATGAACCTGCATCAGCTTCCCAGTTTTATAACCAGTCTCCCATAGTTAAGTCTTTCTATGGCTAAACTACCTCCATTTTCCTAAAGTGCTGCCAAGTTTAAGTGTGAATATTTGTGCTGCTGATATTTGCTACCTCTTTCCCTTTTCTTTTTCTATGGAAATGTAGGAAGAGATTGTATAACGAGTTCACACAAGCTTTCCCATTTGGTCCCACCTCTTGTGAAGTTGCTGATATGCTGCAACTATTTTATTTATTTTTTTACAAAAAAATCAGTTTCAAATTACCTGCCATTAGTAATTGATGCCCAGAAATAATAAAATACTGCTTTTCCCTCCATCCCCCAGAGTTTAATGTCCCAACCCAAAATCATTTAATCCTTCCACTCAAAAGCTTCCATTTTTCCATGTCCTTGTGTTAAGACATGTGCAGCTCTCCTTAATTATTCTTAGCATTGAATGTTGATGGGTCAAGATAATCTCTCAATAATGTGGGCAGAAGGCAGAGGGACAGTGAAAATATCTTCCTGCGATATAATCTCCCAGTTTTGTTTTCAGACAGTTATTTTCTACTGATGTTTCAGCATCATTCTTTTAATTCTGAAAATCTTCCTGATACTATTAGCCTAGTCAATTAGGAGGTACATTTTAAAAAAAAACAAAAACCCTTCACTACAGATTACGTAGCTAATTTAAGATTGTTACTTTCTTAATCCATTTTAACCCACATGATTTTGGTTGAATAAAGTTGAAGCTGCTTTTATGCTTTTGTGGAACAGACTGGACATTTGAGAATCTAACAAATAAATTACTCTGAAAAGAGAGGAAGGTGCACTTTGATTAACCAGGCAGAGGACCAATTCCCTATTTAGGCACAGTATCCTTGCACTTTTAGTGTTGTGAAAAGTTATGTAAGGCAAATCACAAAAATGCTGAACATAATGCAAAGAAGGATTACATTTTCAAAGTATTTTGGTAATCGATCTGGAAGTGCATCCATATTCTGGCCCAACTACACATTAATGTATAATTTGATAGCATAAGGGAACGTGATTAGCCATATTTTCACATGTTGCAAACCCAGTACAGTTTCCAACTAAATTGAAAAGGAATCAAGTTACTAACATGTATTTGAGTTTCAAATTTGTGTTATATGTTGGTTGACCAAAGATTCTAGTCCTATCTTACATTTTTGTACTATCAAATTTAATTGTGAAGTGGAACAAATAAATTGCTAATTTCAAAATTATTTTAAAACAATAAGTGTTGACTTGTCATCCTTTGTTAATAGCCAAATAGAATAACTTTTGTCTTCCAGGTGGATATACAGCTCTTGATGATGAAAAGTTCATTTTCACCTACTTTCTCAAATAGCTGTGGATTACTTCAGGATTAAATCCAACTCAGTGATATATGCTTTAGTTCTGTGTTGCCCAACTGAAGAAAATCAACTGGGGAAATCAACCATTTCAATTCAGGCACGGTCACTTCTGAATTCTAGATGTTTTTTATAACTAAAGCCAAAAGCAAAATCTTGCTGTTTTAAAAGATAAGTGCAAAGTTCTTGATGAAAAGAGGAGTTAAGCAATGAGACACCATTCATTGTAATTTTTTTTGTCCATGTCATTTTACCCTTTCTTTAGATTATATTTTTTTTGAGGAACTCATTGGCTCCATTCAAACATGGTTTCCTCCCTATCCTTTTGACCCATTCACTTTTTCTTTGTATATTAGTTTTGCAATCATTCTCATTCGTTCTTCGTGACTCTTATCTACTGTACTTTTTTCATACTGATTTTGCATTCAGTCTCTATTCAGTCTTGACTCTCTTATGTTGAAGCACATGCACTCCCCATTCCTACTGCATTTTACTTGCCTTCTCTCTGTGATCAGTTTCCATCCATTGCTTCTTCCCTACCTTCAGGTGCTTCCCCCCACCATAAATGTCCATTCTTCTCTATTAGGCTCGGTTAATCCTGGTGGGTTCACTTAGCCCTATTTGGTAATGTGTATGTATGTGTGTGTGTATCTCCAATATTTCCAATAAATATAAATGTATTTCCAAGACCATAATTAAATCCTAATCAAAGTTCACTTGGCCATCAAGTGGATATTTAACAAAAACAGGTTTTTACACTATTTTCATTTCTCAGGAAAACAACTGTGATTTTTTTTTCTTTTGCAATGTTTTGGAGTTAACAATATTATTAGGCATTTGTGCTGAAGAACAGAGAATATGAGAAGATGTAGCATATAAAAGCCTGTAGATCAGGGGTTCTCAACCTTTTTAATGCCGCAACCCCCAACCGGTCATAAGTCGAGGACTACTCAGCTGGTCGTAAGTCGAGGACTACTCAATTGGTGCAGCACCGTTTGTAGAATGGGACTTTTGGCGGGCTCAGCAGGACAGAGACAGCCTGGACAATTCCTATTGGCTTTTGAAAGCCAATAGAATTATACTCTATTCAAGAGAGTCTATTCTATTGGCTTTCAAAAGCCAATAGAATAAAAGGGAGTAGCACAGCTAAGGAAAAGGGGGGGGGGAATGGGAGACTGCATTGTTTGGCGACCCCCGTGAAATAGTCGTTTGACCCCAAATGGGGTCCCGACCCACAGGTTGAGAACCACTGCTGTAGATTATGTAACTTTTGTCTAATGATTCTCCTCACCCCAAAAGGATTCACATTATGCTGAACAACCGCTTTTACTGAATAAATGTTTAGCATGTAAACATTTTATGTTAAAATGACTGAAAAAAGGGGAAACTGCTTTTCCTGAAGATTTCATGCAGGGTGTGTAATTTAGTGGTAAATTTAATAGAACAATAAGATTACTAAATTCTCTTCCAATTCTAATTTTGGTGGGGAATGGTGCCCTCTCCTGGACACAGATAAACAAGATAGGTGACAACTCAAGTTTTGAAAATTGAGCAGTTGCAGTCTCTTTTTGTAGACTTCTGGGAAATGTACTTTTACACAAAAGTAAGTGTACAAGTGCAAAATGTTTTTCTAACATTTTCATTTGCAAGTGATATCACTATGACCTTTTAATATTACTTGGGGTAGTTAAGAGCATATCTCTACTTGCCCCTAACAGCACAAACTCAATTTTGCTCTTAACACTGTCTGCCTGTTATTCCCAACCTATGAGTATGATAAATTTAAATTTTCTTTAGCTGTTTCACTTTGTAGATATTTGTCCCTTGCCTGACATTGTTCAAGAGCAACTTGAAAGTGTGTGAGATCTGCTGGATGCTTAGAACAGAGACAATAGAAAACAGGGTAAGGATTGGCGGCCAGGACAGCTTATTTCAGTTTAGCTTTCTGCTGATTCCACGATGCATGGATAGCAATTGAACTGTTTTGTAAGAGAAAAGGCCAGGAAGCGGGGGGGGGGGCTGAATTCTATTTGTTTATTTGTAAAATTTATTAGCCACCCTTTCTATATTTATTGATGTTACTGTCCATTGCCTCTTACAAAAACGTTTAAACTAAATTGCTCGTAATTTCAATCCTGAATATTTCTGTTTTACTTCACCAACCCTCTCCTATGAGATAGGCACACATGCGTTCAACCATAAATGATTGGTGCTTACTAAGTAGAAAAGCAAAAACCAAGATAAGTTGATGTAGTAGCTGCTTATATGATTATACTGTATAATTGGCCTGATAGGACTACAAGAACCCTGTCAGTGCCACTTCATAGGAAAACTGGCAGTGATGTCAAAAGTATTATGCCACATTTTGGGTGACATATCAGCATTCAACAAGCTTCAACAATTATTCTCAAAAGTCCACCCAGTTGTCCAATTCTTGGAGGTGGTGGAGGCAAAGTGGAACCTCCAAAAATCGCATGGGAATAGGACATGTTTTTACCCACAAGTCCTAAAAAACATTTTAGACATTTTCTGAAGAAAAAGCCAAAAGTTCTTGGAGGAGCAGCATACTTTTAGTTCAAGACTGAAGTTTATTTTCTTTTCCACTAAGGACAGAATTACATTTCAGTCTGATTTGGATTTTTTCCATAACTTAGGCAAGATGGTAACTACACACTTCAAAATGATCATTTCAGCTGGTGAGTTTTAAGTTTTTTATTGCATTCATTGTCTAACAATACTTGTTGACAATAAAGTTATATACAATAACAAATCAATCACAAACTTTAAAAAATCTGTAATACAAACGGCAACTGCCTTTTTTGTGTTATGCCTCCAAATGTAGAAAGAATATTTTCCTGGGAAGTTATTTAAGGAAAAATTGAAAGTACAAACATAATGCTTCAGCATCTTCCATGCAATAGATATGAAGTACAAAATTAAATATCAGGATTACATGCAATTGATACATTAAAACCTCCAAACATATCTCTGCCATCCATTCCTTTTTGATCTAACAAACCAAAGTTTAAAGCCACAGGACACAGGCATAGAGAGGATTTGAACTTAAGCTGTTTTAATTTAGGAATATAGTTTGTTCTAGAATATGGTTTTACAAAAACAGGAACTAAAAAGTGAAACAGTGATAAAATATTTCTATTTTTGAGAATTTTTCAGTGTACTGATTTAGTTTCCTTCCTTTTCATTTTAATTATTTTTGTCCTTTGTGGGGATTAGCTTCAATAGTCTCAAATTAATCCTAGCCCTAAGTAGCAAAACTCCATCCAAAACTAACCACTGTGAGCTGTCTCAGTGTTCTGAAATTATTGGTAACCCAGCAGCACTTCCACCCAGAATTAGCATAATTTCACTGGATTCTGTTAAATTGCGTTTTCTTCTGTCTTGTCACAGCATTATGAAGATAACTTCAGGATAATATGAACAAGTTATGAATACATATTCTGACATTTTTCTAAGGTGATCCCCCCCAATATGCTTGGGGAGGGTTACCATGAGAAAGACGTGTATTACTATTGCCTTCCATATTACTTACATTTCCATTGTTACCCTCACAGAATCATATAAATGATAAGGATAGCAAGTTTATTGGAATAATTGGTTATTGCATAATAATATTGGTAGAGTTTCTTTTCCAAAAGTTCAGGTGAAAGAAGCAGTAATTAACAATAAAAAATAAATAAATTTCAATGATTAATAAGTTACATGTATTGCATAATTTACACTCACAAAAGTGTCTTCCAGTACAAGAATGTCACTTCTTATGTCTAAGACACTATTGGACAGCTCCTTTTCAGACTATTTCACAAATGTCCAAATACATATTGTTCCAGTGTCACACAAGTACAATAAAATCAAAAACAGTCATTAACCAAGTACGATTTAGCAACATAAAATACTGGTTGATATTAAAGATATCAGAAAAAACATTAACAAATGTAACTTCAGGAGAGAATTTTCTTAAAATCTAAGAACCCACATTATTAAATTTATAAATAGACAACTTCATTTACTAATTCACAGGAATTCATTCTGTGCCTTCTGGCTAAAAGAACTTTTGAGGTTTGGTGGGTTGTATATATGATTAATTGTTCACACCCAAGTGGACTCCTGTGTAAAGATATATAAATGAGTAAGTATCTTCCCTTGATTAAGAACATTATAATGAAAGTAGTTTCTTGAATGGACCATTGCAGAGAAGTTTCAAAACCTTAGCTGCTAGCAGTGCAAACTATTCTTTACTCAGATGCCTGTTTGACAGCACCCTGGAAACTGCTGCTATCTGTTACTGTCTTAGTGGGCTAATAGTACAGTAAGCTCTCTGACTAGTTATTTTTATGCCAAGGACCAATTCCTGTGAATGAGCAAAAGTGCAAATGTTAGACAGTAAGACAGAGGCCACTCTGTATCTTTGTAAATAACACATCCTTACTAAAGAGTTTTCCTCTACCCTTTAAGTTGAATAACTTGCAAAATGTCAACCAATGCCTTTGGACAAAAAGATAAGCTATAAAAGTTAAATAGTAATTCAAGGAGTATTTTTGGATATTAAGTTTCACAACTGTTTTAACCAACTGGTGAGACTAGCCTAATGAAGATCAGCATCAGAGGTAATTTTTTTTATTTCTCAACAATTTCTTCCTTAAATCAGGAAAGATCCAATATAAGTGAAAAGCAACAAAACTTATACTCCAAAAAGGGAAAGACACACATCGAAGAGTACCAGTACACTTTTACTTTTGCAAGTAAATATCCTTCCAGATATTTTAACTGGACTACCTATAGGCTTTGGTGAATTCTTACATGTCTTTTAGGATTCCCTTGCCCCTTTCTCAGTAGGTAACTTGAGTCAGACTTGTATCATTAAAAGTTTACTATATAGATATTGAGAGCCTCCAGATGGTTTACACAACAACCAAAATATTCCCACTACAAAAGTGAAGGTTAAGAAGCTCTTGAATCATCACAATAGAGATGAATCCTGTATAAGAAAGGAATGGAGAAGGACCTCAATTTTCAGGGCAAGGATTGCTAATCTTCTTTTGATTTTAATTCTTTCAAGTAATCTCCAGTTACTATTTTTCTAGTAGTTTGGATACAGCCTGGTTGTGGGTACATTTATTTTATTTATATAAGAAAATTTGCATAGATGCCCCTTCACGGTCAATGACTTTGGGCAGCTTACAAAAATAAACATCTAATATACCAACAATAAAAACCAATAACTCCCCCCACCCACTGGCAACAACAATCAATCAGACAAGCCACTTGATGGGCTCCATCCCACTCTCAGTTCCCCTGGCCCATTGGCAAAATCAGGGTCTTCAGGGCCTTGTGAAAGAGTGTCAAAGTGGAGGTCAATCTAATCTCTGCAGGAATGATGTTCCAAAGGGAGAGAGCCACCATGGAGATGGCTCTTCTTCTGGATCCCCCCAGATATACCTTCTTAGGACATGGGGCACACAACATACTCTGCCTGCCCACTCTGGTGGATCAGTAAATGTGACCAGGAAAAGGCAGTCAGACAGCTAACCAAATAAATATTTGATCAGTTTTAGAATGATTTTCAGTTTCTGACTTAACAAGAGAAGGAAGAAAGACTTGTTCTTGCTTCCCATTTAAAGCTATAACAATCCAGATAATCAATAAATCTATCTATTCGTTTATTTATCTGTTATCCTGCAACATTCCAGATAATCAGTACATGTTAGCAAAGATATATTACATCTTTTTTTCCTGCAATTTAGTGGTCATTGCTTACATTCTGAAGTAGCAGTCCTTCTCCTGTTCAAATATCTGTTCACTAGATTCTGCTAACATCTAGAATAATTTAATGATTGCCTAACGGTTCCTTTAATATATATAAAGATTAATGGGCAGATATTAGAAGCATTGTTGCAAACACCTGAAGGAAGGAAAATGAAGAGGAAAAAAGAACAACAGCAAATAAACTATAATTTGGCTTTTACTGATGGAGACCAAGATTTGGTTTGATCCATTCTGTATTTTTTATTTACTCAACAGAAATGTTAATTTTATATATTTCTTTCTTATGTATAAATAATTACTTTTACCTTAAAAAACTTAAAAATTCAATGTTTAGGTCTAAAATTATCCCAAAATATAAAACAAAATAAGGGGATAAATGCAGAACATACATCAAATTAGTTATCTGCAACATCATACAGTTTACACAGAAGGAATGTAAAATAATTTTACAGAGCAACATATAGTCCTCAGAAATTTTAGGAACACAAAATAAAGAACATAAATTATATAAAGGAGAGGAACATGCCCTCAGATGTTACTGAAATATACATCCATCTTAAATTACCAGCCTATAAACTTTACAAAAACAGAAGAACTGCATTTAATTCAATTACTACCTTCAGAGATAAATGTAAGTTGTTTTTCAGATACCTTTCTTTTGCTCAAACACAGCATTTAACCTCTACAATAAACAAACAATGGAATTTGACCATTCTCAGAGGTTTTTGTTCAATCTGTGTCCTCTGAGACAAGTGTCTTCCATTTGATGTTTTTTTTTTCTTTTGTAGTCTTGGTCCTTTCTGGCACAAAAAAAAGCATTAGGACCTTCAAGTTATCAGATATGCTGGCAGAGTTTTGTTATTATAGCCGCAGGTTTCAACCTGAACATTGCAATACAAATAGAATTATTGAATAGGATTGGAGAGGAATCCTGGCAATTATAAAATGCATGTGGCATATAGAACATTGCATGCAGAATAGGCATACAACAGAGCTACTGAGACTGAAATGGAAAATTGAGCTCCTGTAGTTAAGAAATTCTTTTGTAAAAATTCCAGAATTAAGTCAAGGTAGGCCTTAAATAAAATCTGAATGCTAGCTAAATGATAACAACAAACTTCTTTTAAGTGGTCATATTTTAAAGCCAGCTATCTGTTTCCAAAACAGTTTCAGTTCATAGTTCTATGTAATATAGTATCACCAAAAGAAAACCCCATGCTAAACTCAGTTAGAATCAATTTAAAAGGGAAACTGAGATTATAGTTCATAATTTGGCAAAATATTAATGGTTGCAACTGAAAGAAAAAATATTTTTAAAATCCCATTGATTTTAAAGGAGGGATAGGTTGAGTGCATGCTTAAATCTGTCCAATGAAATAACACATTTTTTAACAGCTTTCTTTCATCTGAATCATCCCAATTCTTAAAAATTATAATTCTTCTTAAGTCAACTAGAATGTTCCTTGACCCACCTATTTAAGCCTGAGTTTTCAATTCTAGCTAGTTATTCTACTTATGGGGAAAACATCCAAAATGCATTTTTATAGCTATAGCTTTTTTATTCCAGTATTTTATCATAGGACAGTTGGCAATATTTTATGATTTGGCAGTTTAAAAAGCACATTGCTTTTTAAATGGCAAAATTTATTTTCTGTAGAAAAAAGAAAACCTTTTCAGCAGGTAAAACCTCAGCTCTACCAAGGAATATAATCAACTTCTGCTTCTTGTTTAAGGAAAGACAAAAGGTGAATCATCTTGTTGCTCAAAGAAATGTTAGTTCTTTTAGGGGAAAAAAAAAGGGTAGCATGCTACTGGAAAGTGAAATTAAATACCTTCCTCAAGGAAAACATTGAAAAATTGTATTTTATTACAAACTAACTTAGATTTAGAAATCCAACTGTACATATAAATTCAGAGAATAAATGTTACTCTCTAGTGTCAAACAGCACAATAAGGCCTTGCTTTCATTGTTCTTTAGTTCCTGGGAGGGGAGAATTGTGGGATGCTGATAGGAAAAAGACTGTCTTCCCCATTGAAATGCAAGAGGATGCCTGAACTTGGCTGCACCTGCTATTTCAGTATTTGCAGAGGAAAGATTGAAATTTTGATGTGCATTGTTATGCATGTGTAGTCACTAATATACATTTTACCTCTGGTTATTCACCTTTGCAGGTCCATTGAATCTTTTCTTTTAACACTGGCCTGATTCCAGGGCGTTTTAATGCAGTGTAAAAGTTACATCAAAAAGGCCCAATGCAAATGAGGATAGAGATGCCAAGGCAGCATACATAGGTGAAAGATTTTTAGTAACATCCCATCCTGGGTTGCTGAATCATTAAAAAATAATGAATTGCTGAATATATCCCAAGTATCCACATTTCTACAGTGGCAGGAAAGTATAGCTACTCATGATTTGTTTCCCTTAAGTAAAGCTTCAGATACAGGTGCAAAGCTATCTCTTTAATGAAGAAAACAGTGTTCACTGTTGCTTTTTCGAAATTGTCTTCATGTTCTTAGAAAGCACAGTTAATCCTGGGGTCTCATTGCTCATGTGCCCCCTGAATTGGTTCTGCTGATTGCTTTTCTAGCTTTCTACACTTTCTTTGAAACTGAAACATTTTCCTTCTTCTTAAGTTTTTTCTTTTTCTTTTCCATCTTCTTTTGAGCTTTGCGGGCTTTTTCTAGATTTGCTTTCATTTCTTTGATTTTTTTTTTAATCACAGCTCTCTCCTGGGAAGATGTCATACCAAGGAACTAATATTTTAAAAAAGATAAACATTTTAATGTATTGCAAAATTACAGGTCCTTTAAAATATAATTTAGATATGTACAAGACAGCATGGTCTTTAATAGAACAGTAAATATTAATATTCTTGATCTATCAAAGCAACTCATCATTAGCAAAACTACTATTAGTAATACTTTAACAGAGAAAATATGCTTACGTCTGGGCATTAAAAATAAACACTTGATTCAATTTTGATTCACATTTGAGTTTCTCCAGATCAAAAGATCTACTATGAGAGCTAGTTTGGTCTAGTAGTTAAGGTGCCAGGCTACAAACCAGGAGATGGGGAATTTTAGTCAATGGTGGGATTCAGCCAGTTCGCACCAGTTCGGCAGAACCGGTAGCTAATTTTTTGTTGCCCAGGCCCAGAATGGACTTCTGGAAGTGGCATCCACATAGAGAACTGGTTGCTCACATATTTGAATCCCACCACTGATTGTAGTCCTGCCTTAGGCATGAAAGCCAGCTGGGTAACTGTGGGCCAGTCACTTCATAAGGTTGTTGTTGTGGGGAAAATAGAAAGAGGAAGGAGTATTAGGAGTGCTGATTTATTTATAAAAACAATAAATATGCTGTGAGGAGTGGTTCTTTGAAATTTAACTTTAACCAGTTTCCTTTTACATGCGCCCATATAAAGGAACCTTTCAATCATTATTCAGCAATTAGATTAATGCTGCCTAGTTTGGCTGGCATCACCTAATGTACAAATGCTACTAAAGCTGATTTCAAATATTTGATTTTCAGTGGAACCTATTGGGCTCTTGGCTGCCTGGTATGGTGAGAGAATGTGCCAGATGTCAAAATGTTGGCAGCAAACTATAATTCTAAGAATGATCACATCTAGTTCCAAAAGAATTAGGAACTTCAATATGAGTGACAGACATTCCAATATGACAGAGTCTTTTTCAAGCAATAAAAATGCAATGCTTGATGTGATAAGATGTAACCTGATAAGCTGGTTGTTGTGGTAAATAGTGAATTATGTGATAGCACAAGGCCATGTAGTAAGAGAGCAAAATATGCGTAGGTCAATCTGTAACAGCTATAGGTACATCTATATGTGCATGCATATTTGTCTGGTATACATGTTTACAAGGAAAAAAATCCTTCTGTACTAATAAGCTACTTTGGTAAGGCTTTTGCTGTAAGAGATGGCATAAAAGTATTTTAAAATAGATGAATATATAACTGTTTTTTCTAAAATCAAAACCGCCAAAGGAAATGAACTATAGATGGTCCTTGACTTATGGCTGCAACTAAACCTGGAATTACAGTAATAAGTCATGCTGATTGTTAAACAGGTTAGCATATGAGCAATTCAATTTTATGACAGTTTTACAGAAGTTGTTAGGTGAATTGGTTATCAAGTGAACCCATTGCCTGCAATAGTCATTTTTTTTGTCAGAAAACAGAAGTAAACACTGGTTTCTGGCAAAAAAAGTCGTAAATTGTATTATATCACCACGGAATAGAGCAAAAATAGCCATAAACATGGGCAAGTTGCTGAGCACTTGATCATATAACCATGAAAGGAAGGAGCCATCAGAACTTTGAATCCAGGTTGTATCTTTTTTTGGGTCCATCATAACTTTGAATAGTCTTTAAGCAACCAATTGTAAATCTAGAACCAGTTGTATATTAATAGGATTTAGTAATTAGTAATAAATAACATTTATTTAATAGTACCAAGAGATGCGCTCAAAAACACAACTATCAAGCACTGGGGAAAACAGGGGATAAGGTAGTTTAAAGGAGTATATTGCAAGCTTAAGCTTTCTACAAAAATCTGATCTACTAACAGTCAAGAGAAATTTGTAGGAGTTAAGGATAGAAAGGAATTCAAGGTGGGCTGGACCTAAATCTTTTGTGGGAGCATAGGGACTATGACGTAGGACGTATTTGACCCCACTCTTGGGCTCAGCCTGGTCATCTCCTACAGTAACATGAATCACAATTTATGATAATAACACTTGAAGTCCAGAGGTGCAGTATCTCTGGCCATTAATTTTCAAAATAAAAGAATTCGAAAAATAACAAATTAAACAATGAATATTAATTTATTAATTTTAATATCTAGCACTGTGCATCTAGCTATGATTTTCAGAGGTAATGAAATTTTTGTAATTTCAATGGCTAACACTTCAATTGTGTAATTTAATTTTTCAGCAATTGGTATTGCTATACCTTATTGCTATATCTTATCATCTCTATATATCAAGATTTTAATTGCATTTTCCATTACATATTTTCATAATAAAATTCTAAATTACTTTTCCAACACAAAGAAGCAATTACCTTAAGTTTACTGCCATCCAGCTGAAGGAGACATTCTCCATTTATATTATGGGCTGTAAATTCAGAAATACAATGTTCTAAATTCAGGCTCTTTAACCAATTGGAAACCTGCTGCACACTCCATTCTGAAACAGCACAATTTGGAAATTGGCTGTGCTTGGGAGATTGTCCATCATCAAGAATCTATAACAAACGTTTTGCAGTACAAAGTTCAGAAGAGCTGTACCATCATGGTGATAGTATCATATCTTCAACATAATTTTAATAAAATTCCCAATTAATTGTGAAATCATATCAAAATTGACAAGATATATCATTTATAAAAATGTGACTATAGGAAAACAACTAGTTGGATGCTGGGTCTAACTTAACATTCAATTGCTTAATTCTTTGGAAGGAGCAAATATTTGGAAAAAATCCTTTTAATATTAGAACTAAAGCATATTTTCTCATATTATTTTTATCTATCAAAACTATCACATGCTGATTTTGTAGAGTCTAGAATGACAAAGGTTCCATCTGATCAAATTTTGTGCAATATTTACCATACTGAGAACCACATCCTACTATATCTTATACAACCTTTTACTTATAGTAATATATACTATAGTATATACTACTAATTAAATGAACTCAATATACCATGCAACATAATGATACCAAATAGTTTACTATAGTCTCACCTCATCATCAATCATATCCAAGCTCTGAGAAATTCAGCATTAAAAACAACGGAAAATAAAACATTACAGAGAGAAACATATTCAAGGAATTTAAAAGTGCCTACATATAAAGCTTGCAGATCTGGGCTGCAGATGAGGAGATGATCATTAGATGTCAACAAAGAGGCACAGAAGCTGTTTAAGACTTTGCTGCCATCTAGTGCTCTTCTAGGTTTCTGCCCTCTAGATCTGAAAGTCTAAGAGCTGATGCTGCAACAGATTTCATAATTGAAAATACTATTAGCAATTTATTTTAAAAAGCAAAATGTTATAGAATTTTTGGTACAGAGCCAATTGAATCTTCTTTTTCATTTTTGTACATACGTACAAACATTTTTAAGAATAATGGAGAATTAACTAAAATGCAATATAGCATTTTATATTTATATCTCAATTTAGTAATATAAATGACTCTTCTTTAAAATCAGTTTTCAAGATTCAATATGAATTTGTTGTAATTTCTGATTGGAAGGCATGTTAAACTGTAAAACGTGTGTAGGTGAATATGCATTTTCAATTTTATATTATGTCCCATTGAATTTATGTACTAGGTTACAATTTTAAAGATTATACATTGTTTTCTATCTATCTGTGTTCTCCTTGTTCCTCGATTTAAAACTCATTTGGTAATAAAGCTGTTTTCTTTCCTGCACACATTTTAAATTTTATTTCATGATCAGTAGCTTAACATCTCCATTAAGCTAATGATTATAAACAGCAGATCTAAACAACTACATAAGCAATAATAATATTTACATATTAACTAGTTCAGAAGAAGCACCAAACTCATTTTCTGCTCTTTAAGTACATGTAGAGAAGATACCTCATCAGAAGACACAACTACACAGTGTGAAAATCCTGGGGTTTTTGATCCTAAGCCACTTGTCCCTAAGCCACTCAAGTCAGCTGAGCTGGTGCTACTTGGGTCGAAGTTGTCATTGAACGTGATATTCTGTATAGGAATAAGAACAACACAAGGGCAATCAAGTCCAATAATAAAGATTAGGCCTGAAAGATGAAATTTGAATCTGCTAAGATTTCATTCACTATGATGATTTGCTCACCTAGATTGGAAATATAAATAGTGACCTTACTTTAAATATTTTAAAAAATGTAATGCAATGTTATATGCTAACAATGAAGATGAAACCTTGTGTTTTCCTCCACGTTTATTACTGTAAATGTGCTGAATTGAAAGACCTCAATAAATGTTTGATTTCAACATGAGTTTATGTATCTTTAAAGTTATTTTCAAAGACTTTATAGAACTTTTGCTGAAAATGGATAAAAATTGATTAAAGAGACTTGTTTACAGGAAGAGGAGAACTATAATATGTAATATGGGAAGGTAAAGATAGTAATTATGTTTGCAACACCTGCAAAGATTGGAAATTATTGTAAATATCTTTTTTCCTTGCTTTTTTGTTAGTCGCTTTTTTCATGTTTATTTTTTTCTATTTCTTCTATGCCTCTGTAGCTTTTAAATTTTTGATAGATCTTATATTAATAGTAATTTTTTTTTAAAAAAAATGGAGACTGGTGGAAAATGTTTAAAATTCCTATCAATTTAATCCTAGCAGTGGCCTTTTGATCTTTCCCCTCTTTGATGTTTGCTATCAAGACAATTTGTACAAAGTGATTGTGTAAATTAATTAGCTGTGATATACATTACCATATTGTGACCTATAAAAACTTCAAAGTCTTTTCAGCAGATTTTCCGCACCTGATTGGTGAGAGCAAGAAAGATGGTCTGCATTAGAGTTTTAATGGCCAATATAGTCAGAATAGTTCCTTGCTTGTGGAATTCAGCATCAGGTAAAATAAAGACAGCCAATCAAAAAAATAATGTTTCAAAGAACATTGGAAAATTACCAAGTTCATTAGATGGAAATTCGCACATTAAAAATGGGAGGAATAAGGAGTTCATTTGATCTGGACTCAAGCTTCAGGAGGATCTGAAATTTAGCCTTTTTTTACTTTTAAAATATAAAAAATGTATTCTCTTTTCTTTGTTGTCATTTCTATCTGGTCTCAAAAGGATGAAAGAGTACAGGATTATTTTCTTTCTTTCACAGAGTGCTTCAAACATGGTCATCTGATGCTGTAAGAAGGGAAACAAACAAATGGTAGCTTTTATTGTAGGCTCTGATTTTTATTTATGCAATCTCACAACTATGAACCAAATACAATCTGAAGGGCAAATGACTTCACTAGAAACTGCATATCTCATTACTTAAAGTGGGCCCAATTCCACCAAATCCTTAGAACCTCAGTCAATTCTTCACCCCCTCCCACAGCCCTGCATGTGTAAAAGTTGGGAAGCCAAGGGAAAAAGCTACTTCCATCCCATAGTAATGATGCATTGAGTTGAGAACAGAAATGTTTTCCTTAAGAAAAGAGTTTATAAAACACAAATCCAGTGCTATGCTTAGTGAGCTATGTGAATTAGCAGGTAACAAAATGAGTTTATGTTTTCCCACAATAAAACTGTTGTGAATTGCTCTTGCAATTTCAATTGTGTAAATTTATCTTTAGCTGCTTCCTAAGGAATCCAAAACCTGTAGTATCTGGTTTTTATTCAGTTATTCCTACTTTTAGTATAAGAAGGGACATATCCATGTTCTCAAACCCTTCTCCAGTTTGAACTTCCAATCTCTGTGGAAAGTAAATCAAATGAAATTGAGCATAAAATTGGTTTCAAATAATAGTCTGTAGCAACAGAATTATAGGATCAGCATAAAATGTAGAACCAGTCTGATTTTGGGGGCAGGAGGGGGGATTTTATCATTTCTGGGTCAGATATTAACCTGGTTTTAAAACATGTTAAAAAATCATTGAGAATTGTGAGTCAAGGAGTATATAAATTTAAATCTGACATAAATTGAAGATGTTGATGAGTGAAAGCTGATCTCAAGATTCAGAATTCCTACTTTTTTTTTTTTTTACCTTTGATAAAAGTCTTATATACCAGTCTTTCTTAGCTTGGTAAATTTCCTTTTTTTCTCATAATAAATTCCTATATCTAGACAAAGCTCTCTTGTGGGTTGTTAAATATACTAATATGGATTCCATTATCTCTGTGTTACAATTGTATCGCTCAAGTAAACAACAATCATCACCATAAACATAAAATTAGAGCACAAAACTTATTTTGTTCCTATCAATGCAGTGAAGCAAGAATTACATTTTATAGATGAACAGAAAGAAGCAATTTCTTCTAGAGTGGTATATGCATTTGGCAACATTAATCTGATTGAATTAAAAAATTCAACTAAGGGAAAACTTGATTGTTGAATCTGTATTCCTTTTGTACCTTTCTGGATACAAAAGAAATTTCTGGGCCCACAGAACTTTCTAAAATAAATTTGGGAAGGGAAAACAATAAGGGTTTGTCCAAACAAATTAGTTTATTTCAATGAAAGTAAAATGTGCTAGAACATTTATTTAGTAAAAAAAAAGGTTCTTTAAAAGAGTTATGTTTTTTTTCTTGTTCTGATCTAAATTATTTAATTTTCATTTGTTTGTTTTTTTCATGGCAACTCAAAAGAGAGAAAATATATTGCTGTTTTATGGACTTTAAGAAATACAATTCAAAAATCTGAAACTATGCAGCATCCGCTAAACTAGTATTAAAAAAAATCTTTCCCCTTCTCCCAATATACACTAATAGCAATAGCATTTAGACTTATATGCTCCTTCATATTGCTTTACAGCCAGTGGTGGGATTCAAATTATGTGAACAACGAGTTCTCTGTGTGGATGCCACTTCTGGAAGTCCTGGGCAACAAAAAATTAGCTACCAGTTCTACCGAACGGATGTGAACTGGCTGAATCCCACCACTGTTTACAGCCCTCTCTAAGCAGTTTACAGAGTCAGGATATTGCCCCCAACAATCTGGATCCTCATTTTACCTACCTTGGAAGGATAAAAAGCTGAGTCAATCTTGAGCCGGTGAGAATTGAACTGACAAACTGCTGACAGTCGGCAGTCAGCAGAAGTAGCCAGCAGTACTGCATTTGAACCACTGCACCAGCATGGCTCTATGTTCTATGCTTTATGAACTATGATGCTAGTTCAAAGCTTTCAACCATTATTTTTGTCAGGAAATTCACAAAAGGACAATGTGAAAAACAAGAGCAAACAGAAAGAGTAAAGTAACACAACATTTAATTAATAACTAATAAACTTCCAAATGCTGTAGTTTAATCTTTGCTGCAGAATTTTGAACTTTGTGAAAATTCTGCACAAACTCTCTTTCAGCTGTCCTGAGCACAGATTAATACTAAACACAACAGAACAGAATAACAGAGTTGGAAGGGACCTTGGAGATCTTCTAGTCTAATCCCCTGCTGAAGCAGAAAACTCTATATCACTTCAGACAAATGGTTGTCCAATTTCTTCTTTTAAAAACCTCCAAAATGGAGCACTGTTCTGGCCCATATAGCTCTATGGCCCAGCTCTACGTTGGAGTGTCTGGCAGTTATTGGGTTAAATGCTAGGTATGTGGATGGGTCAGTGGGAGGAGTTCCAAAGGTCGTTGGGAGACTTCCTGGACACAAGGCACTTGGGAATCTCTTTGTCTGTAAGAAGCATGGGCCATGGAAGGTCTCCCTATAAGCATAAAGATAGTATAAAGAGCAATATCTTCTTATCTAAAGGAAGGATCTAAAAGATGAACAAACATGTATTTCCAGCAGCACCAATCTCAACGTGAACGCAAGTAATCTTTCTCATTAAAATATATTTTGTTTATTATAAGATCGTTTCTTTTGAGTTAACTATCTGACAGGATTTAAAAGAGATCACTTTAAGTTTGTGTCAGAATAGTAAGAAGATATACTCATAATTTGTGCCATCTTTTGAAAGCAAATAGTAAATTGGCAAAGATTAATTCTTCTCTCAAAGCTGCAACAGTTTGAAGAAAGAGAATCAAATTGGTTAGCCCTTTCTCTACATTAACCTTCAAGGAAGTAAAGATTCTCTTGATGCCTTTAAAAGCCTGCAAAGCCAAGCCAGCGTGTTTGTGTAAAAGACAGCTTTCAAGGAGTGATTCAGAAGTTTTGTTATGCTAATTCGCTTCCTAGCTAACCTTCAAAGTGAAAAGTGCCTTGTATCTGATTCAAAATTACTTTGGACCTGTTCTCAAATTAATGTTTATAGCGGGGAGAAAGAAAAACAAAAATCTACACTTTTGTTCCTTGCATGAAAAGTTTGAATTTTAACACCAAAAGGAGCTTGGGCTTTTCCCCCTCCCCTCTTTGCCAGTGAATCACACAGCCTGAAACAAAGAACTGTTTAATGACTGCCTCTAAAGTTCAGACAAAAGCAAGGTTTATTGCCTTTCAATAAACTCATCTGTTGCCATAGTGACAGCCCTAGGTATGCTCAGGAATTTCAGCCAATGTTATAAGGAGGAATCATCGCAGAAGCACCCCCTGGTGGTCATGCAATTTTTTTTCTAGCTGAGTCACAACAGCCACAATTAATTCAGCACACAACAGAGCAAATCTGTTAGTTAAAGTGCAAGCTACTTAAAGTTATCCCAAGCTACCAACACCCCAAGAGCACAGAGTGATCTTACCAGAAGCATTCACTCACTCACCCAAGCTGAGCACTAAGCTGTTCCAGCTTGAGGGAACTTAGGCAGAAGAAATCAAAGCCAAGTCTCTTTGCTTATTATCACAGCTGATGACCCGGAGTTCCAGCCTGCAACTCGCCAGGTGGGAGTTTGTACCTCTACATTCTCTCAGTGGCTCACTAGCAGTAACGTGGTAATAGGAAGAATTTGGCTAGCCTTTTTAACACCCCCTAGAGGGCACAGAGTGAACTTACCAAAAGTACTCACTCACTCAAGCTGAAGGCTAAGCTGTTCCAGCTTGAGAGAAAGGAAGCAAGAGCCAATTGCCTTCGCCTATTAGCACAGCTGATGACCCGGAGTTCCAGCCTGCAAC